AGCTATGTTAGCTTTGTAAAGGAGTTTCCCTGGCTTATCTTGAAGAGACAAGTGCTTCCTTATGGTCCAGGATCTGTGCTTCAAACACACTCCTCTCCACATCTCGTTAAGTGTCAGACATCTCCATCTACTGTGTGACAGATTTTCCTGATGGATACACCTCCAAGAAAGGCAGTGGGAAAGAGCATTGACTATGATGCTGTTGACACTTGTTCCCCATATTTTCAGTTAGCAAATATAAACAATATAAAATGATCAAAGATATGTAAACTAAGGTTAGACTATTGATTGTTTTGCCTTTTTTAAAGCTTCAACTTTAATGACTCATCCTTCCTTCCTTTTCACTAGTATTCCAGGGTAAATTAATAATAATAAATTATAACAATATAGTAATATAAAATAAAATTAGTTTTGAGCTGTGGATTAAAAGCAGGTCTCTGCAATCCAGGGAAAGTTTTGCAGTGGATTTGATACAGAGCCGAAACATTCGTCATCGCACATTTGTGCGAAATAATCTGCAATGCACCCTGCCATAGCTTTCACGCATCAGTTCAGCTTACAGTTACATAAAAAGACATTTGTGAGAAAAAGGCAAGCAGCAGAGGAAGAGATGTACTGCATGCAGTGAGACTGCCACAACAGAGGAGAGTGGCATTTTGACTGCTGGACCTCTGCAGTATGTCCTCTGCGTGCTGAATTAGGGCAAGAATGAAGAATAGCCATTAGATGGCAACAACTCCAAACTACTTCCTGTCCCTCCTGCCTCTGACCCAGTGACCTAAAATAATCCACGTAAGATAGCAAGTACAGACCTTGCTTCCTGTGCTAGTGTGCTTTCAAGGAGAAAGCAGGGCCATCAGAAATCGTCCCCTTGAAAGGAAACTGTTTCTGGGAGCCCGTGATGGGCAGCTCTCCCACTGTACTACAGCAGGGGAACGTCACCTTCTGTGCACATCACGGAACAGAAACACCTTCTTGCAGAAAACGAGTGCATCGTTTCTTCAGAAGTGCAATGAAGATTGAGCCTGATGAGATGGCTGCAGCTTGTTCTAAAGACTTTAAAAGATTTACCTGTATCAGGTAAATTCTCTGAAAAAAGGTATTATATTAGAAGTTGTTTAGATACTTCAGGAAATTTCTTCAGCACTGGTAAACAGTAGTTTTGGAACCTAGCAACTTCATTTTGACACTCTCTTCTATATTTATTTTTTTCTGTTTATATTTGTTCCATAAATTCAGAGTATGAAAATTTAACTTTAGAGGCTTCTTTGGCTTATATTATTTTCTATAAATCCAAATAAAAGTCTAGATTTTAACAGAGAAGTTCAATATAAAATTCAACTATTTTGTACTTGACAGGACTGTCTCCACCACACACAAAGAATTAAAATGCTATTTTACCTGCATTTCCTTCCTATTCCAATAATTGATTGTAAAGGAGACAGCTACTACATATTTTCTCTACCACATAGGCTCTTTTTTTACATTAGACAATATTCGTTCTGCTTTAACAGAAGTAGCAAGCAAAACCACTCATAAAACTGCCTTCCTGCCAGTGATATCATAGTCTAACATAACCTATGCTGGGAAAGATGTCCTTCACTTAGGTTGATAGAGGACAACTGCAAGAATGTGCATTAAGTTTCTTTTACATGCACACTGGAAAACATACAAGGATACACACAGAGAAAAAGAAAATGTTGCAAATAACATTAACAGAAATAGATTTGTTTTAAAAAAAAGTTCAACTCCTTAAGGTCAATATCTACTTTAACACTCAACTTCAAGTTGAGGGAACAGAGACTTAGTGGACTATCACACAAGAAAAAGCAAAATCTGATATTAGCAATAGAAATTGTTCATTTGTCATGGTGATGACAGACTGATTCAAGAGTGACAGTTGTTATCTAGCCACCAGAATTAATTTACATTCTGCTAAGTAATATATTGTGTATGAACAAATTTCCATAAGATTAAAATTTTCAAATGTGTGTTCAAGCATAAAATAACTTGGGTAAAATATTAATCCCGTAGATGAGAACTGCTTACTGAGCTCTTTTCATAGGGAATCACCTTCCTGCAGGTGGGCAACATACATAAATCTATATAATACTTATTTTTAGCACAGACATTGCCTAAGCTGGTGATTGGAATTCATGCAAATATCAAAAAAATACCAAAGCGTGCAGTTCAGAGTGTGCATTATCAGCAGTTGCCACTTTTCCATCTCTTCACCAGGAAGACAGAACATTCCTAAGGTTTGGTATGCAGCAGTATAAAAATCATGTTACAGCGATATAAAGTGACACAAGGTCTATTTTTACCTGTCTACACAAAGAAAACGGAGAGCCATGAACCTGGTCATCATAATACAGCTGCAAAATTGTCTTGTGGTAGATGCATTTGCATAGAGGAATACTGCACAGCACTAGACATCATATGGAAACAAAACCAACGTGGTGGCTCACCTTCATTTTCACTTTATATCAACTTTATTTAACACATATTTAACTGAATCAGCAGCAGAACAGCTATTGAATACACAAGGTCAACTCCTCCCAACCTTTAGGGATAGAAAATACTAAAGTGAAGAAATGTAGCACACCAGAATATCTAATTAGTAGACGACATGGTGGTTCACCACCTAAAAAGCATACAAGCAGTGATATAGTGGAAAAGGAAGACCAGAGAGTGCCCTGAATGTGTGTAAGACTGCTTTACACAGAACATTTGTCTGAATATGCTCATCACATACATATAGGTTCATGAATCTGTATCTCACTTGGATTAATTCTCACCGATGGGAATGCTGGATCCCAAATCCTCCCTATGTTGAAGCTAACACCAAATGACTAGTCTACTTCTGTTACACACACTTGCAGTTCTTACATCAAGAAAACAGGAAGTTTTTTTATGGGAAGCTCTGCAAAGCACAGATTGGTAAGGAGATCCCTTACACGGCCATAATGCAATCAAAACAAAAGCTGTGGAGCGACATTCCTCTTCATTACAGTGTGGTGCTAAGGTGGATCTTCAGTTCTAGATAATTACTTTCAGTCTGTCACATAGTTTGAACACTTCAAGTCCAATACTGAGATAGTGCCTACAGTCCATATCAATAATAGAGATTCCAGTATATCAGGGACTGAAAACATGCAGCTAAAAAACCAATATCTCAAATACCCAAAGATAAAATATGCATCATCTCCAGTAATTACTTTTTTTTTACAGCTTGCCATGAGTAAGAATAAATATTTGGAAGTCAACATGCTGAAGACAGTATTAGTTTTTTTCCAAATATCAAGTATCCAAACAGTTGCCTGACTAGCTTACAAAACATCATTTTAACCACAGCAGCTCTCACATTTTATAACCTGAGACATTATTTCAACCTACCAGAACCACTGGACCTATTGATACAGTTTCAAAGGCAACACACAGGTCTTCAGAGCTGAAACACGGAGTGAGCTAGGATTTTTCCTAATAAGAGACAGACACCATCCCACTGCTATGAAAGCACCTGCCAAATCTAAGAGCATTACCAGAAAGAAGGTATTAAAATGAAAATCAAACCCATTGTATGATTTAACATGTATTAGAGCAAACAATGCTAGAGCTGTATTGTTATTGGTAGTCTTTTTTTTGTGCCACAATAAGACACTCCAGGCCACAGGCATCACAAATTGCTAAACAGCCTTCAGACCTTACAATCTTACAGGTACTTCAAAAAGAGACCAGAGCAGAAGGTTTAGGAGGGTATTACATCAGAGAGAGAAGTGACAAAAAAAACCACAAAAGGAAGGTGGTAAAAAGTGTTTTACTAGAACATGGGACTTTTTGCCTGCAGATTACTTGCAAAAGTGTCTAAGGAAGGTACCTAAGATAAAAATGGATTGTCAACAGGCTTTGAATTGCAACACAGAGGTCAAAATCTCCCCAGAAATCTCCTGCGGTATACAGAAATGGGAAGGTCAAACCCCACTAAGCCAGGAGCAGCCACAAGTCATTTCCCTTGTAAAAACTGAAGAAGCAACCATAGCACTTCTTTAGTAAAAGAATTCAATTCTAATTGCGTGACAATATGCATATAAATAGTTAGGAAATTGCAGTTTCCAAGCAACCCCCTATGCTTAAAGAAAAAGGACTGAAAATATTCTAGGAAAAAAAAAAATCAGCTAGCAGTACAGACATCAAATATAGAAATAGGCCTTTTCTGATTAAGCTAAATAATTCCAAACTGAGAAAACCTTCTGGGAAATGGAAAAATGTAATTATCAGAGTTGTGAAAATAATTTTTAACCAAGGAAAACGTTTACGCATGAGGTTCCTGCTGGCTAAAGTAACTCACCAGTGACAGTGAAGTTTTGCACATAGATAGCCCTAAAAAAGTAGAAATCGGGAATTTCAGCATTATTCTAGACCAGCAAGAGTCTAATTCTAGAAAACTTAGAGGCAACTTCTCTCCGAATCACTAAGTTTTGTTGATTCCTGTATGGCACTCAAAGACACACTGTAGAAAGAGAACCCTCTGTAAAATGTCATTAAAAAGAGCATGCAAGCTCAGATCCTGATATAACTGTTAAGATTTGAAAGTCCCCAGAATAACAGCCAGTTGAAGACATGCTACTATAAAAATTCATTGGGTACAGATGCTTTATAAAATTCTAGACCTTCCATTATATGTTATCTTTTCTTCTTTAGCAAGGTTTGAAACAGATTGCTCCGAAGACCTTACAGATATTTTCTCACTCCAAAACACTCATATTCCCACTGCAGTGGAAAAAGTTCCTCATTGGATAAGATATACACTACATGAAAATAACTTTTCAGAATGATTGGCTTATTTTGCTATATTGCATACATGTAAACATCATTAGAGAACAGGCTATTCCAAATAGCATCATCTGCGCACTGCCAAGAGCTCTTTACCAATAGTTTATACGGCAAAAGAGTACTTGGGCAAAGAAGAATTGTAGTAAAAGAGATTATATTTTATTTACCTTGATGAGTCATCGTGACAGGTTCTTCACTGGATATATTGTTGTAAATGACCACGGCTGTGGCATTATGTGAAGCTGCTCGCAGTATTTTCTCTCTAAATGTACAGTTTCCTCGCTGTAGTAAAGCGATCCACTGCTTGGTGTTTGGTGGAACTTGGAAACGTGTTCGAGGGTCACAGCCCAGACGATCTGCAACTGGAACAGGAAATACATTTACACAGATGACAATTTGTTCAAACAGGCAAAACACCCCCACCCTAACTCCAAGTTTTGCTGAATTAACTGTTATGCACTAGCAAGCCACTATCCTCTTGTTAATAAAGCCTAAAGACAACTGCATTCTTATGAAAAAAAGTCTTTAAAAAAAACCATCTCACACAATGAAAGCTGTGACTATATGCCTGAGAATTAGGCTCACTAACACAAGCTATTTTTAACTCTAGTGCAGCTAGAACAATGAATTTACATTTGAATCAATACCTGCCTACAGGCTGAAAAACATTAGAATATGGTTCATATGCTGTAGGCATTTACGAAACAGCTGTTTATCAGTCATTCTGGGGAATATAACTTTTTTCTTTTCTAATGAAGTCACAAATATCACTGTAGTGGGAAGTATAGCTAAACAAAGGAGACTGTGAAAACAAGATTTCAGAGTTATCTGCCATGTGCAGGCTACTGTAAAAAAAAAAAAAAGGACTACATTAAAAGCTGATCTTGTAAAACCCCGGCAGCCAAGATCAGCTTTCATATATACACATTTTGTCTACGAGGAAGTGCATTCAAATTAAGAGGAAAAAAAAACGGTTTTGCAAACACGATGCACTCAAGTTGTCAGTTATTGATGGTATAAAGGAAGAGTAACAGAAATGGCAAATGCCGGATGTCTGAATTCAACAGCATGCAAAGCTCTTCTTTTGTCCTTTCTGATGCTGTAATGTATCCTGAACAACCCAAACCCGCACAAAGCCACATACAAAAGGCACAAAATGCAATGCAGAAGACAACTTCACTGTACAGCAGCTGAAACTGATGTAAGACATCTCTGTTTACACAATTGGAAACATACTGTTTAGCCTGATGGTCGTATCATTAAAGTATTTTAGAAATTTAGAGCCAACAGTAATAATACGAATATATTTACCCTTTCAAATGCCAAGAGTATAAGAATCTTTGGCTACTAAAAATGGTTGGAATAAACAGTGATTTTTCAAGACATAAACAAACAATTTATTTGCATAATAGCTCTGAAAACATTACAGATCCTAATAGCAATTCAAATGAAGTGTCCCATAAAATTTTCCTTTTAAAGAAGTGAGATCATTAGCACACACTATGGGATTTTGGCAAAAGGTGCACCACAAAAAAATTATCCAGTTTAACATATCAGCTGGAAACAAAAGATCTTTTTAAGCATTCTCAGCTTAACATATCTCAGGTTAAAAACCTATAACAAAGGAGATTCAAATAGCTAAAGGATCTTTTCTGAAACAAGAACGAAAAATCTTTTGTTTGCCTAATGAAAACTAGTGCAGAGGAATCTATATTGTGGCAGTCATACAGGAAGTCATTGCATCTCTTAATTTGGACAAGAAGTGCCTCTCCCTGTTCCCCTGGAAGGAGGGTGGGGAGCCAGATATAAGCACATCCTTTTCACAATTGTTTCTCAAGGCTGTATTAGACATTTCAGACATGCAGGGCTATTTGCTGTATTTTTGTATTTGTGTTTAGTTTTATACAGGGATCAGGGAAAATCAGAAATATAGATGCCTGAATGCTAGATTTTATTGAATATTTTCTTCCACTACACTGACATTATTACTTGAATCCCTTTGGAAATTGCTAGCTAGCGCTGATCCACGGACATCTTTTGGAGCACTGGTGACGGCCATCACAAACAGCAATGATCATAGGAGTGCACTTTCCTGTCGACTGCACTGTTGTAGCTTGTCTTTGTAGTCTTAAAGAGAACGATACATTTTTTTCAAAAAGAACTATAATTCCTTTAAAATGTGATACAACTATAACACAGCCCATGTGCAACCAATCCTGATGTTCTCTGTTAAGATAAAAGCAGTTTACTGTTTAATGCAAACTTCCCCCTTGTTCAGAATATTTCCACTTAAAAATGCAGGGGGTGAGAAGCAACAGCAAACTGATACGAAGTTTCTCAAGCCTTGAAAGCTAAAAATCCCATCTTTCTCCACTGAAATCAGATTCTTGAGTCTCAGGTGCGATACATCCCTTGGAAAATACCATTCAATAAGTGGCCACAATTCCGTAGAATCTCCTCAAACTGCTAAAACTAACTCTGAAAGTAGACACTCGGGCCAACAAATTTACTTAAAATATATGGGATGAAGAGCAGTAATCCTATGGATTATGTACAGTTTGCTTCAGTACAATCATGCTCAAAACTAAAATACTAAGTGAAAACAAAAATGGCCACATGTAATGGGGTTATTAGAGTGAAAAATCATAAAAGCAGTAAAAAGCAAAAGGCACCTTGAAAAGAGAAGCAGCATTCTCAAAAGTCTATTATACAGTTTAATTTTACTAAAATTTAAGTAGGTACCTTTGAATTTGTAAAGCTTGAAAATTTTAGCTTCAAAACTGTCAGAGAAAGTAGTAAGAGAAACTGCACCTGTGGGAAAAGTAGTACAAAATTTTCTACCACAGTAGAGATCAAAGTCTCTTTCAGCCGTGGACAGAGCTATGAAACGTTACTGGATAGAGCAACAGGATTAGGAAACAAGATATTAAGAGATAAAAGCTTTCCAGATATAGACCAACAAACACCACTCAAATGCATACAGCATGTTACTCCCGACAAGGTGGATTCAGTGTGTCCGGATGAAAAATTAACAGTCAACAATATTATTTTAGTGCTATTTAAGTAATACAAAAACATTAAGGAAAATCTGGTTGGTTTAGATAAACCTGAACTGAGTAACTGCCAGTCACTTCAGATTTAACAAAAAGTCACAACCCACTTTTCTTTACATTGCCATCCTATTTACACCACACAACTGCTAAGTAATCTTTTCACTTTTAACTAAATAAAATTCAGGAACAATAGTGAAAAGTGAGTTTTTTCTCCTGGGTTTTTCAATAGAATTAATACACTCTGAAAAAAGTGAAAGTCTTATAGTCATGGCCACCCTTTCTGGCATAGCAAACTGGCTAAAACAAAACGTCTGCTATACACCTAACGTACCAGGCACATCAGTTGGCTTTGTAGGGGACACAGATAAATGAACAGTGTCGGCAAGAAGCATCATCAATAGCTCTCCATTATCATGTCATCCATGCTCCATTGCCCAAAGTCCAATTAGGATCTAAAAGACTAGGGCTTGCAAGTATTACCTGGATGATGTCCATGCCAGAATGAAAAGCAACTTCAAATTAAATTAAAAGTTATTCTAAAATAAATCACTTGCACATAAAAAGATATGATCAGAAGTCACTCATGTAATTTCATAATTTCAGAAGATATAAGCATACAGAAAGCCATCTACGTGTGTTTCCCTATAGGTGTGCTACTCTTCTGGCTTATTTGAAATGTAAGTTTACTCTGCCTTTCCTTTCTCCATGTCTACCTATGTACCACAAATGTGTTGGCAAAAACCCCAATTTTCTGTTAGAAGTGGCAGCCTGCTGAGTTAAAGAGCTACGTACAATGCTGCTGTAAACATCTCCCTTTCCTACTGTAAGCCACAACACCACAGAAGAGCCTCTTTACAGAAGGATCAGCTGCAATTTAAGTATCTACAGTTAGGCTGCACGTTTGTTCTCAACGTTAGGAGACCTTCAGTTTCCTCTGCAGAACACAGGACTGCTCAACTTGCCTGTAACCATTTCTCCTTAAGCATTTTTTTTAAATTCAAGATGCCTTTCTCCTGAAGTATTAATGTTTGTGACAGCATTTTAGGGATTCATGTGAAAGAAATAGTTAATAAAGCAATAGATCCAGCCAAGCTTCCTCAACTACTGGAGAAGTATTGGCAAGCTGACGTTAGAACAGTAACAGTACTTTCCTCCTCATCTTTTCCAATTGTTTGTCCAGGTCCTTTAGCCTTCCCCCTGTAACAGTGATAGCCATTTCACAGTCACAAAAATGAAATTAATAGGTTAACTGTCAGAGGCTTTGTCAGAAGTACACACTTGCCTGAATGCAGACTGGCTCCTCCTACTTCTGAACCGTGACTGGGTTTGCTTTCTCTCATATACTGGGTGTTTATGTTGCTCTTGCATTGCTTAGCACATAGCTGTGATGTCCCAATTCAGCCAAGGTTGCCACATTGAGTGTTATCAGACCTTGTCCCCTTTGCACAGAAAAAGGCCAGTGCCATGATCCCATACTCACGCATTAACTATTTTTTTTTTCTTTTTAAAAAGGTCAGATATCTTGATATTGATTGCATTTTAACTAATGCTCTAGTCTCTGAGATCATCACCAGTTGCCAGAGCTGGTCTGTCTCAGTTACACATACAGAAATCATTTTAAAGTCTGCCCTTCAATCACTGTAATACAACAGGTGGAGACACACCATCAATATTTTGAAGGGAGCAAATCAAGAGACTTGATGGGAAAGAAAAGAGCACACGGAAAGATGCCGTCCCATGCAGCCTGTGCCCCAAAGCATTCCCTCCGCGCAGCAGGCGCTATGTAGCACACCTGACTGGCAGAACAGCCAGCCTTGTGCAACACATTAATTATAATCCTACGATAAAATTTCCAGAACAGGAATTCAGCTAGGAAATTTACAGAAGCAACGCAGCAGCACTGATTCTTATTTCAAGGAAGGGTACTAGCTACTTGTAATCCTATCAGGGTTTAACACACACAATATATATCTTTTCTTTCAATGCATTACTACTTGTGTTATTATCAACATAGTCCTTATTCAAGCCAGTTATAACTTCTGCTTTTTAGAAGTTGTATCAATGAGTTATATACAGCAACATTTTCTTTTCAAGAACTACTTCAGGTAATTGCTTTGACTAAAGCTGGCTTTAATGCTAAAAGAAACTCTTTGAACCAGAGGTAATCTTGTTTTAGGAAAGAAGTTAAACAAAAGAAAATCACTGAAGCTTAGAAGAGTCCTGTAATAGTTCAGATTTAATCTTGTTAGCTCAGTAAGTATACTACCAATTATGCTTATAAACTAATATATAACCTCCACTTTTGTTATCAATTAATGACTACTGATTAAGCTGGATACTGAGACCAATGGTAAAGGATGGATACATGCACAAGATTTTTCTTCCACTACTCTATATTTATTGATACTTCTGCTTGTTGCATTTTCCTAAAGCTTATTATTTTGGATTCTGGGCCAGAAAGAAACACAAAATTCTGTCTCAATGTTACCTAAAGCTCTGCAGTTACCAGGAAACTGTCATTTTAAGCCTTCTGCAGCTAAAACTTGTTCACACAAGGTGTTTATGAAGTGTCAGATGCTACAAAACATTACAGTATCATACACAATATACCTCCATTCCTAACATTGTGCCAATATTGTTTATTCTCTACTTCCACCTTTTTATAACATATGTTTTTCCTCAAATTTTCAGTCTGCTGAAGGGTTAGTAGGGTTGTGGCTGGGCAAGCAGAGATCTCCCCTTTCTACGAGTTCTTTCTCCAAGCAGCTTTTGTACAGCCATCGCCTCCCCAGAAGCCCTTTAGGCTCCAGTCCCCTTCCACCCCTCCTCACCTCCTCGTTCCTGACCTATTAACTCCACAAGTCTTAACGTTTTCAAGTTTGGCTTTGAGTCTGGTGCTGTTTCACTTCCTATCACTCTCCAGCCCTATTCACCCTGTCTGCTTCCCCACTACCCAAGGTGCACAGAAACTCGCCTCCCGGCAAGGCCCGACCCTCTGCGAGGGGGCTTGGAAAGCACACAGGACTGACATTTCCAGTCCTCAACTGTGTATCCAAACCCAGAATGACATGCAATAACCCAGATTCAACAGTTACAGGAGAGTCCCGTTCACCACAGAGAAGGTTTCTGAGGGAGCTAAGCCACAAAGCACTGCAGTTTCTACCAAGAATCGTTAAAGGGAGTTTTCAATGGCTTCCTGCTTGGTTAGTCATAGCAAGAGGAATATGCCTGACACCTAAAGATCAGCATCACAACTGGTGTCAGGCACCTAGTTCCAAAGATGCTCAAAAGCAGAGGTCACTAGTGGCACAGGGCTGAACACTTACACAGACACACCACGAGTACCTACTGTGAAAAGTCTGGGCTGCTGGTTCCAAAAAGTCAAAAATAACAGAGTAAGGCACTCAATGAGCAGTGCTCAGTAACCTTGCCGAAGACATAAACCCAAAATAAACTATCAGAAAAGCTGCATCAGGCTGTGAGGATGCATTTCATTCTTATCCTTCCATGCAGAACAAAAGGAACATTTTTTTTATAATCTGCAAGCATTCGTATCCAGAAGCTGTTTAAAATGCTCTTCTAATAAGAAATTATTTAAGTCATGACAAAAGATTAACACGTTAGAGGAAGTAAGAAAAGGAACTAGAAGTGGAAGAACCAAAGAGAGATTAACAGAGAAACTCTGCTGTTACCATGCATTTAATGCACTTGGAAAGATACGCGTACACAGGTGCTGTATTTACACCCAGCAGCCAACTGTGACCAACAACTTGCTGGAGCTACACTTTCACAAGTCACATTCACAAGCGGTCATGCGGATTACTGCCATATCACTTCCAGGGGAACATTGCTTTTGAAAACCAGTATCAATTTCATACAAGGGTCTATAAAAAGAACAGGGAATGCATTAACATGACAAGGTTGAATTTGATTAAAGAAATTCTGCTAAAGAAACAGAAGTGATTGAATATATCATTCTGCACTGAAATTTAAAGGATGGGTAATTACACAGGACTGGGACCTTCAAAAAGTAGTATATAAAATATTGGGCATATTCAAGAACATTTAAAATCACAGGCTGTGCTATTACAAATGGTGTATGTTCAGCAGCAGATCTTTAGCTAAATTCTGAATTAGTAAATTAATTTATTTCCCTGCAGGCAATGAGTAAGGGATCTTAACACAGCATTAAGGACATTTCACCTCTAAAACTTGCATGTCCCAGTCTACGCCATGAAGGTGCTAAGAGATCACCCATGTTTGTGGAAATTTCTAGGGACAGTCCATGAATGGGTGAATGCTTGACATCAAAGCAGTTTCAGAGTCAAGGTGTCTTCAAACATAGTTGCTAACAATTGTGGAGTCCTTTTCTTCTTAGGACACATGAGAACTGGGGTAGAACATTTACTACTTTAAAAGCAGAGGCTGGTGCTAGCTACTTGTGTTAAGAGCTATCAGAAAAAGATATTTTGCAAACAAGTTCTACAGCAATGTTAACAGGCTGATAAAAAGGCATTAGAGCAATTACTTTCAGCAAGACAGCATTGTCTTTTATCAATTCTAGATACAAAAAAAGCACAAGAATATAAACATAAGACTCTTAAGTGTTTGAGAACATCTTAACCAAAAGCATAAAATATTCCAGTCTTTCCTACTACATGAAATATTTTTAAGGCACATGAAGTGCACCTCAGCAAAATTCAGATAAAACGTATATTCTGAGAACCTACATAGAACCATTCAGAAGAACTTTAAAGGAAGACAACTGCTGCAGTGTTTGCTTGTAACAGTCTTCTGTTGACAAACAGAAGGACAAAACTGAAATCTTCCCAACAACTGATGGCAAAGTTTTAATGACTGCAGTATGTCAAAACTGCAGAAACGGAGGTCTGCAATTTC